CCGAGGGGGGGTGGGGAGAGACGACTGGGCGCCCGAAGCCCGAGCGTTCCCTCCAGCGGCTCCGGCGCCGCGGGGCCTACGCCCGCCCTCGGTGGGCTCCGCTCGCGGTCCCCCCGGGCGCGCGCAGGGACAGCCACCAACTCCGCACCTCAGTTTGTAAAACCACCTGGCGACGTGCGCACCCTGGTGCCGCCGTCCCCGCCCGCGTGCAAACTCCGCGCCCCTCTTCCAGGTTCCCTCCGAGTCTCCCCGCCCCCAGCCAGGTGCCGGCCTCCCCGCTGTCCCCGCTCTTCTGCCGTCCAGCAGCTGCTCTCCCGCGACGTCGCCCTGCAGAATATGGGCAGCGCTGAGTGGGGCTGTGTTTTGTAAATTAGGCAACACGGGAGACACGCGGACGAGTACAGAAAATAGTATTGACGACACCCACGCCCCCCACTCGAGATTAAACCTAAAACACTCTGCTCCACTTGCTTGGTATTTATTAAAGAAAGATAAATTTAGACCTAACTAAAGCCCCACGCTTATTCTTTCTCTTTCCTCCCTAGTCGCTGTTGTGCGTATCGTTCTACTCATGTTTTTATAGTTTTATTACGTATGATACATGAATCTGCCAACTGCGCTGAGTACCAACTTCTGGGTTTTAGTTTTACAAAAATGACATCATGCCGAATAGTCTTTTGCAACCTTTGTCGTTTCCTATTATGTTTTTGAGATTCGTTTATGATTTAACTGCTCTGTAGTAGTATTTCATTGTTTTTCACGTGTCTCAGAGCATATAGCTGGATTGCTTAGAATTTTTAGCATGAGACTGTATCTCTGCTAGCTAGAGTTTAGCTTGTTTTGTTATGATTGGATTAATTTTAATTATAACTGAATTCTTCTGTTTTATTTTGTGGTATTTACCATACTTTTTCTTCTTACTTTCTGCTTTCCTGTTAATGTCTGGGTTCAGTTTCAGAGAACAGAATTCATTCTGGAAACTTTAAGTACAAAAGGATTTACTCTAGGGTATAAAATGGCTTAAGGATTTCTCTGGAGGGTGAAGATTCTAGGTTGGCCATTCAGGAGTGACTTTGGGAGCCACTTTGAGACTCTGAGAGCAGAACCAGGCCACCAGAAGAGCCACTGCCCCTTCTGAAATCTGGAAGCTACTTACTGAATTGGCAAGCTGTCTCTACAGCTGCCAGCTTCTGAACCTGTACAGCTATTGTGATGATAAGACTCCACTGAAGAGAAATCAGACACCTCCCCGGCTGTCCTCACAAACAGAAACAGCACACACCCAGACCCTGCTTCACTTTCGCCTTACAAACCAAATCAGAGGGAAAGTCTGATTGGAAGAGCCAAAATGGCATCCAGAATTCCAGCTTTCGAAATACAGCAAGGCACGGTTGGACGTCAGAATGGGTATTGAACTAATTCCACAATGTTCATCCACTGATTCCCCAAGGCAGTTGTCCACCATAGCTCCCTTTTATTGCCCTGAATGACTGGTTTTTATTTCCATATTTCTCCTATCTGATTTGGAAGATATCCTATTCCATTTCTATCCTTATTATGGTTAGCCTGATCATTTTTAATCCCTTAATCAAATAAATACACGTGAGTTGTTTAGCAATAGTTTAACAAGGCCCATAATTTTAAAAAGAAGCAATTCCCAATTCCCACTGGAAATAAATTTGTCCTGCTGTTTTGTGATTTTTGTTTTCAGTTTTAGATATTATTTATTTTCTGTTATGGAAAAGGATGCCCTGGCTATTTTGTATCCTCAACAAAAATATGATCTTCCCTGCTCCCATTCTTTCAATGTGGTTATATGATCATTTTTGGTAAGTCACTAAAGTGCTTACATAGTGTGCTATAGTTCCATTTTTATACTGTTGGTGGGGGGGGGGTAATCACGGCCTCTGCTTTTTATTTGCTTACATTTTTATCAACCCATTGCAACCTCTTTCCCAAACTCTCCAACAGAGCAGTGGAAGACATCACTGTGGGTGTGAATGGTCAGCTGGGGGGGAAACTTCTCTCCCGGAGTACACTGACCTCTTGTTCCGCCCGGACTGCTTGCGCTACGGGCCTACTGAGTGCTGTCGTGCTGGCCCTGTCTTCACCTCCATCCCGTCATCCCCCGTCCTCTGACCTGCTTCCTACACCCCGGGTTGTGGTCTGCTTCACATCCTCCTTCATTTTAGTGGAGAACATTCTCCCATAGTTTCCTGACGGGGGGGAGAAAGAGTACAGAAAAGATAAAATCCTTGCAACCGAGTGTGTGTTCATTTTACTCTCCTATTTGATTGACAGCCTCGCTAAGAATAGTCTGGTTCGCGGGAAGTCTTGCTCACTTAGATCTCTGAATGTATTGCTTCACTGTTTTCTCGCTTCTCAGGTTGCTTTTGAGAAGGCCACTCACATTCTGTTTTCTTTGTGGCTGACCTGGTTTTCGAGGGCCGGTATTGTTTGTTTATTTTTGTTTTGTCTCCCTCCCCATTCTCTGCAGGCTTAGTGTGCTGATGTTTTATGACGATGTGCCTTGGTGTGGAGCTTTCGTTGTCTGCTGTGCAGGGCGGCGATACGTGTGCAGAAACCGGACACCTCACCCTTCAGTTCTGAAAACCTGTCTTATTGTTTGGTAATTTTCACTTACTTTGCTCTCTCTTTCTGGAATATCTATCAGTCAGCTAATAGGTCTTCTACAATGCTCTTCCAATTTTCTTCTATTTTCTATTTCTTTTCATCTCGTTGTTGTTGTTCTGTCTCCTGATACGGTTTCTCAACTTTATCCTCTGACCCTTCTATTCAACTTTTATTTGTGTGATTATCTTTTTAATTTCTAAGAGCTTTTTCCTGGTTTCTGAATATTTCTTTTCTAACAGCATCCTGTACTCATTTCATAGACGTGCTATTAATTACAGGTTGTTTGTTTCTGCTTTTACGTTTTCTTCTACTCCTTACATTGTCTGCCTCTGTCTTGTCGGAGGTCAGGTTTTTAGTTTGTTCACTTTGATCTCCATCGAGAGGCTTTCCCCGAATCTCTGGTGATCCTTTACTCTAAATTCATAATTTAGACAGAGATGCTAAATATGTGTAATTCCTTGTTTCTGGAAATAAAAATGTTTTAAAATATGTATTTTTAAGTATTCTGTAGCAGAGATTGCTAGTTATCTCCCAATGCCCAGTCTCCCCTGCTTCCTTTATTAAAAGAAACCCTGACCTTTAGCTGGGCACAGCTTCACCCAACTAAAGCCAGTTAAAGACTACATTTCCCACTCTCCCCTGCAAATAGGTGTGGTCATGTGATTATGTTTCACCCAATAGGGTGGCCCTAGCAAATAGGTGTGGTCATGTGATTATGTTTCACCCAATAGAGGGTGAGCAGAAGTAATACAGGCAACTTTCTCTAGCAGTTACTTGACAAAAGGAGAGTGGACTCTTTCCACTTCTCACTGGCTGGAATATGGTTGCAGTAACTACATTGGGA